CCGCCGCTGCTGTCCCGTGCCCGGCGCCGGGGCCCGGCAGGCCTGGGCTGCCTGCAGGACGCTCGCACCGGCGCTGCTGGCGAACCGTTACACGCCCCCAGACCTGTCTGTCGCGTAGCCCCGGGGGCAGCTCGGAGCTGTGCGGCCCCGCCCCCCCCCAGTGCTCGGCGCGGGTGCTGAGGTGGCAGCAAGAACTAGCGCTGCTTGGTGCCGAACCCTGCACCCAGGAGGGCCTGGATAGGATGGTTGTGTAGTGCGCGGGTTTATTATTACCCTGAAATAGAATAGTTTTCTGATAAGCATACTGTTAGGTTTACAATAATTTAGATTATTAAGAAGTATTAGCTTTACAGCTGAATACAAGTCATGACCTGTGGCCTAGCAATGCAGCTGACCACAAGGCAGATTGATAGCTAAGCCTTTGCTTGTGTCAAATAATCATTTTAACTGTATTAAGCATTTTCTGAGTTAAAAAGTGGATCTGTGTCTGTGCACTGAAAAATCAGCTACAGCAAAAAGTAAGATAAGACAAGAAAACCATTGTTCTGGGTGCAGTGGTTGTGTCCTTAAAAAGTATCTACTACTGTGTAAGGTTTTGCTAACATATTATAATGTTACTGTTACTTAACTTTTAGCTTTTAAAAAGTGCTAGTTCAGCTTAATAAAAATATGCTGTTACAAAGATTTAAAAAGCACCACCCAAGTATTGCTTTTTTTGTTAACCATGAAGTCTTGCCTTGTTATAATAAGTATAAAAGATCACCTCACCCTTAGTGGGGGGGGCATTTTGCCTTTTGCTGGCTTTATGGTCTTTGTTCGAGCAAATAAACAGCTGTCTTTCTTTACCCGCGTTGTCTGTCAATCAAATTACAGCTAGACAACGAACCTTAGGGAGATTTCTCCCACCACAGTTGTGACAGTGTCCAGCCCAGGGCCCTACTTGGCAGAGGCCTTATTTTATTGCGCTTTCTGCTTAATTTGCTCAAAGCGAGATAAGAAACATCCTCAGGACATTGATCGAGGTCTGGAGCGTCCTAGGTCAATCTGCTGTAAACAAAATGCCTGTAAAAAAAAGGGTATTTAAAACCCTGGTACTGCCCCTGCTTCACTGCACCTGCCATCTCCTTCCTTGGGGAATGGGAAGGCCTGCCTCTGCTTTGCCAGTTGATTACAACTTGAATGAATTCACTGACTTGAGCTCAAGTAGTTTGGACTCTTGAAGCCTTTTTTAAAGGGTTAAATTGACTTGGTGACAAGAACTTGACCAGGTGCATGTCTAGCCAAAGCGGCTCTGTAGCTGGAAACCAGCTTGGAGTTAAGCAAGGGCAGTTTGCAGCCTAAGTATTTGCTAGAAAGAGAATATAATAAAGCCATTTTGAGAAAATTGCAAGCTGTTCACAGATGTGTCTCAGAGAAAAGGAGGTGATATACACAAAATTAATTTTATGTGCTCTCATTTATTCAGTCTTCATTGCAGTGCCCTGGATGCGGCTGTGCAGAGCTAAGGAAATGTATTAGGGAAGTTTACTGTTACAGTCTGTAAATTGAAGCAGGTCAGAATGAGGTACTGAGATTATGCTCCTAATATAGGTGCCCTGAGTGATAAAGACTGAATACAGGTAGTTTCATGCAGTCTTTCATATGTCTTTTTTTTTTCAGGTTTCTTGCAACGTAGGTGCCTTGGCTTGGAAAAGATGTCCCAGCTTAAATTCTGTTCTCGGAGATCCCCAGTGATTTGTACTGGTGGTTGCGTTGCATCAAATCAGACGCTTGCAACAAATATTGGTCTTGGTAATTTTGTTCTCACTCTCTTACTTAAATATAGTTATGAAAAAGTACATCTGATATTTTAAGAGATGTAGACAACAGTATATTTATTAGTTATCAAAATCCACGTTTTAAATTGTGACTGTGAGTGTAGTAGTTAAGCAATTTTCAACATCAGAAGTACTGTGTACTTGTCACTCTTTGTATTTGTTACTCTTGGCTTCTGCTGGACCTCTGTACGGTTGAGCCATGTGACAATCCAAGCTTGTACTTTCTGTAGTTATTGCATGTGCAGTTGTGGGAATGGAGTATTTTGCAAGAGGTTTCAGGTTGCCGTAAGTCCTGATCTTCCTCTTGCTGAATGATCTTGCTACCCTTGAAGTTGGTGAGAGTTTTGGTATAGATTTAGTGGGAGTAGGACTAGGCCCAATGTTCCATTACAACAGAACCCAGCCCATTCAGGCCTCTTCTGTTTAAAACACTTGTTTAAGTGCCTAACGTTCAGAAAATAAAAAGGACACAAGGAAGTCTGCATAAGCATGTCCCTGGTTATTCTTAGTAGGTACTCAGAGCAAAAGTTTGTTTTCCTGCTTGTGCCATTTCCACTTAGGATTTAAAAGAGATTGTTTGTGTAAGAAGCTAGAGGCGACTGCTTTTATTGGAAAGAGGGAAAAGGCTGAACTAAAAGTACTTCCTTCCTGCCACCCCACTTAGAGAAGGAACATGTCAGTAGAGAAGGTGGTCCATTAGGCATTCAGACGTAATGCAGTAAGTATGTAAAAGTGCCTAGAAATAGGATCCATTTTTCCACCCTTGTGAATCAGGCTCAGGATCCGTTCCTGAATGTTTCACAGAGAAGGGATATAGGGAAGGCTGAAGAAGGAAGTCATGTCAAAAGTGGCTCTGTGTATTGCAGAAGTTGAAGCCATAATGGAGACCCGTTATCCCACAGGCTTTGTGTGTATTACTAGGGAACGCAGGTGGAAGGCAGGTAATTGTGTGGATTGAGCTTCTTATGGGACAAACTGGGAGAGTGCTGTGATGAAAGTGAGAAATAAAAGGGGATAACATTTTTCTCTAGGAGAAAGCTGGAAACTATTGACTTCCCCCTCACAATTTTGCAGTCTCCAGAGGACAATACCAAGTCGATGGTTAACCTAGATGTCTTCTGTGACAAAACCTGGTAACATG